GTAAGATTGGTAAGGCGCACGATTACTTCGGCCAATCCATCAAATAGTTCTTGTACCTCGTTGTGAACGAACTTGATATCACCTGCTTCGCGGGAAAGCCGTGGCAGGGGTAATGTTAGCAGAGGAAAGTCGAGGGACTCATTACGCTTACCGCAGAATAATATTCGAGGTCGCATTTCAATTCAGTGCAAGACAAGAAGACCACAAAGCAAATATAATCTCCAAACAATCTCCTTTACCGGCCCGTGTTGTGCAGATAAGTACACGCGGCCACGTCTGAGGATCATATGCATGTCGATGCTTATGATCACCGCGGTACCGGTAATTCAGAGCGGGAAGCACCACCGGCCACGATTTAGCTCAAATTCTTGAGTCTTGACCACCTCTGGAATGCCTGTGTGCCCAGGAAGTCAATAGAGAGCCATGAGTATCATGAACATCAGTGACATCCTAGTGCACAAGAAACGCAGTCGTTGGTGAGTACTCGCATTAATGTGCAATGCCATACCCTGTGCATTCAGCAATGCGTACCAAGTGCTGCACTTGGCAGTCCGACTGTCAGACAAGACCTGCAGAGAATTTGAAGGAACTAACCCCAGCTAAGCGAGGTACGGGCAGAAATTGAAAGGTTTGGGTTATCTCCTGTGTACGTCAGTAGAGTTTCCAGCGAATTTGGCGTCTTTAGTGTAATGCAAACGCGAAATTCGATGGACTGAGTTGGGTGCCACAATGTAAGTAAGACAAGGAACACGAGAATACAAGAAAACGCTATATTATTTACGACACAACGCAACAGGTGATCACGAACAGGCCTACTTCCCCATAATACAAGTGTCGCCGGCCTAAGAAACACATCACCTAGTCCACATCCATGCCACCACCGCCACCGCCACCTCCACCTCCTCTACGATTGCCACCTCTTCGACCTCGGCCGCCCCGACCGCCGCCTCGCTGCCACCGTTGCGCTTCTTGCCGCGAATTCGCGCTCGACTGTTGACTGTATAGTTTGGGGTCTGCGCCCGGCGGAGCAACAAGTACTGTCGCTCGAGGATCAGAAGCAGCAATCGAGTCAGAGCGCAGTTTTCTGAAAGTGGCGCAAATATCAATCTGCTGGCGAATCGAGAACACTGCAAGGAAAAGTACATACGACCCGCCCTGATCGCCACCGCTCGCCATTAATACGTCTACACTCCCGCTTTCCCTCGCAATTTCTACGCCACCCAGCCGCCCCACTAAGGTCGACGTAGTATTACCGGCGATACGTACACGCAGCGTCCGACCGTCTGCTTGCTGCTTATCGAATTTTTCGACCGCAGCTGCAGCTGCCGCAGGATCTTTGAATGTTAGTCGGACAGCAACTCCGTCAGCGGCAGGTCCGGGTGCAAGCGCAGATGAGAGAATTGCTCCGCAACGTTTGAATATCGCCTATATAACCACACCAGTTCAGAACTTACCTTGAACGCAACTCGAAGAGAACATACCTCAACGTCCGCGGGTGTCGTACCCTTCACCAGGCCTTCTACTTGAACCACATTCCCTCCTGAGCTACCACTAGCGCCTTTGATGGAAAGCTGTGGTCCTACGCCCGTCACTTCGCGAAGAGCGCGTCGGGCGAGCAGAGAGTCGGCCTTTCGCGGTTGAGCTGCGTTGTTGGTCAGCCGTGAAGAGAGCGAGGGTTTATCAGGGTCTTCAAAGAGGTCATGCGACCATTGCGAGTCTGGGTCGCCTTTTGGTGGACGATTCGGTCGGAGCTGTGGTGGGCAGGTCGTGTGTAGGTGTTGGGCGTAGAGAAGATCGGGTCCGTGACAGCAGCAGCGTTGCATTCGTTCGCAGGTTAAAGGGGAATACGTTATTCTTTTTGCGTTTGCAGGAATGGCGAAATGGATGAAATCGGGTACGCACATACGGCGAAGATAAGCGACTATTTGGTTTTGACCGCACTGGTCCGACAGTGCCTTCCGGCGCACTTAAGCGATCCAAAAGAGAGGCCATTGTTGAACAAGCAGGAGGATAACTTGAAAAGAACGAAAAGCGGGAGGAGGAGTCTTGACAGTTGCTGTGCAAGCTCAGAATTGCCGCTCAGAAAGAGGTTTGTATGTTCGTGTTTGGTTTTGGTGGCAGTTCAGTGGACCGTGATCGCAACGTCAATCGGACTCCCCGACTCCTGAGTTTCTCGATTGAAGGTGATGGTTTGTATTTCCCTCGCCGACACCGATGAGAGCCAAGGGCATTTGGGGGCGAACAAGGGCGAATCCGATAGGGCTATATTACGGCCTAGCATGAGCTTGGTGGCCTACAAAGACTGCCAAATTTATTGATTCATAGTCTTTTTCATGATAACAATCAGTATAAATGCGATACCGTGTACTATCATGAAGTTGGTCACTCCCGCAGTCGCGCAGGTATGTGAAGTTACTCGTTGCAAACGCAAAGATACGAGCAGGGGCAAAGTGGGCTTATGCTAACTCGGAGACCACAAGACCCAGAACGGAACCGCAGCGCGGAGGGTCCGTTACGGACGCGTCATATCATGCGGAATCTTAGAGATAGAGCGGTAACATGTACTTGGATTTTGATCGTCAGCTCAGAGCGCGCCTGAACAATTCGCAGCGACAAGACATTGGACACAGAACACATCCGTATAACACTGATAACAAGACGAGCGGGAAGTGCACTCCCGACAAAGGCCCAGAGGATGCGTATAGATAATAGGAGCGATCGTAACCTGTGTGGACTTCAAAGGGCAATCAGTATCACGTCGTATTCAAGTTGAAAACGAAGAATCAGAAGTGTCAAATTCTGGAGCACACCCACGCAAGGAGGTATTCTCCCTGAAGAAATTCAAAACCAAATACCAAAGCATCACGTATACCACAAAATCATTGAAAATGCAACTCACCTGTATCCAGAACCCTGGATTTCTACGTTGATGAAAATCGAACGACGAACGTTCAAGAAGTGAAAAATAGTGCGGACGATAGCCGCGCCGAATGAGAGTAAGCCCCATTGAGTTGACGACTCTCCGATTAGAGAGCCTACAATCGCATAACTATGTCTATGAGCAACGAAGTGCCAACCGCATACTTAACTGCCCAAACACAGCCGTGCTCATATCTTCGCATGGCTGTGCCCTGTGATGAACAGCTGGTAGCAGATAGGCAACAGAGTCAGCAAGCGGAGCTGAACTGGTTCGCGTACAAACGACTGCGAAAGTCCAGCAAATCGACCTCGCCTAGCCAGCCTCGCCGTCCTCAGCTTGCTTAACGCTGGGCGCTTTCCATTGGGGCGAGGAGGCATTGCTCTGTGTCTCCGGGGACTTTTCCCACAGCGTAAAGAGAAGAGCGTAAAGCCCTTCTGTGCGTGAGCTGCGACAGCGATTCTTCAGACGGCGTGGTGTGTATGAAGTAGAAAATTGTCGGAGGCTTAAGAGCGATCATTTCAACCTCCGCTGAGGGCCGCCGACAAGCCGGGCATGCTTCCCCATTTTGTCCCACTCGCTGTGCAACTACAGGCGCTGTGTCCAGTCTTACGTCTACAATGGACTCGGAGAAGACCAAGAGCGATCCGTCGACCTCCTCGAACACCTCAACAACCAGCCCCCCGCAAAGAAACCAGAGGATTCGTGTGTATCGCGGTTGGCCGTCTATTCATGTGGTCCGACCTCCCAGTGGCAAGTGGCGCATTCCTGTGCTCTCCTGCAGCGATCTAATGCGAATTGTGTATGATCCCCAGGTAGATACTCACCGCACGCAGATGAGCACTGTTTCACCTATTGTTCCCAAAGTGCCTATGGAAGGGCTAAGAATCAGGAGCCGTGGTGTCGCTCCCTGTGCATTCGACGGGTCTTCACGCACGAAGTGAAAAAGGTTCTCGCTCACGACAAAGCGGTAAAACCTTACCCTCTCCCGCCTGAAGGGCAGGAGGCCGATTACCGTCATGGCCCCAACGATATTCGGTTTTGGGAGGAAGGCTGGTACCTTTGGACCAGCAAGAGTCGGTGGGCGGCTCAAGAGAGACTTGATCTGATGATGTGGGACCTTGGTCAACAGGATCATTGGCAACGTCACAAAGACCAAGTGGAGAGGGAATGGGACGAGTACTGGGCAGAGCACGAAAAGCAGCGACTGGGTGAGGAGGAGCCACAAGAGGGCGGTGCTCCCACTCCCGCTCAAATAGGTCACCGCCAAAACCACATACGGTTAGATGGTACGCCCTATCCTGTAGGCGGGCACATGCTTCCCAAGCAACCTTCACATACCCATCCGTGGTGAGTGCTTGTGGTATTATATGGGTGTATTGCACTCACCTGCACATCTCTCAGGCAACACTCTCTGATGGTCCGACTCCCACCTCCGTTCTCTCCATTCTTCCAACCAATACAAAACCTGCTGACACCGACGTTCAAAGTCATGACTCTTTTACGCCGAAGCTACGAGTCGGGAGCGCAGGGCGAGCTCGCTAGGCGCATGTGGGAGAAGGCCTGTTCACGGGATCCATTCGTATTGGCCAGTACCGTGTGTCGGAAGATGTGGGACAAATGGAAGGAGGGTCCACCGGATGATACGCACTCTGATATTTAAACACATTCGTCTCCTTATAATATACCGTGACAGTATAGATGTCGGATCTGAGCCTGCAGGTGGTAATACAGGCGCCCACCTTGGAGTTAATATTATATTGATTCTTTAACGATACGACAGTAAGGCATGATGGCCGAGCGGTCTAAGGCGCCAGAATCAGGCTGACGTAATCTGGTCCTTCGGGGCGGGAGTTCGAATCTCCCTCATGTCATTATTTTCCTCGTCAAAGTTTTTGTCCTGGTTGGATCGTGATAACAGAAGTTGATCACCAAACCTCAAGTTGATTGGCAAGTCTGTGAGTGTCAAAAACCACATATCGCCGCGAACAAAACAAAATCCACAGTCAGAATCCACTAAATCAACGTTGATGGCAAAATATACGGACTCCGGGAAACCGAAGCACGAAGCACAAGTACGTTGTGACATGAGGGAGATTCGAACTCCCGCCCCGAAGGACCAGATTACGTCAGCCTGATTCTGGCGCCTTAGACCGCTCGGCCATCATGCCATAAATGTAATCTTGAAGAACGTAGAATATGATGTCTTCACATCACCCACTCCGTCAAAGAATGGGTGAGGATTTCTGTTGTGTTTTGCGCGCCTTGTGCTCCAAGCAAAGTGAGTACAGGTTCATCGACCTCGGTGTTCTCCATATGTTTGTCTCATTTATAGCCTTCCCTTCAACATCATCGGCTCTGCCTGCACTGGGTCTGCCATCGTTCAAACGTGAGACTTCGATACCTTTAGAATCCTACGATCTGTCTATTTGTTGGGCATGTGGGGTTCGGATTTGTGACAGTCAGAGTTGATGACCTGACCTAGGTGTTGACCTAGCTTATGATGGGCTGCCGTTGTGCATGCGCATACCTCGGCAAAGCTGCATAAGCGCCATGACGACTAACCCTTCGGCGACTTGATAAAAGGAGCTCAAATGGAAGGCTCCTAAACACAACTCTTCCAATATCATGAATCTTTGCAGTGACTGCTTCAAAGGTGTTCGGCATGAAGGTGTTCCCGAAGGTCAGCATTGCTGGTTTGGAACATGAGTGCATCCCTCACTGTCTCTCGCCACGTCCAGGGAAACTCGAAACAATTGGTGGAGTTACGTGCTATGTTGGGACGCCCAGTGGCGAGTACGCCAAGGACACAGTCCTTCTCTTCCTGACGGATGTTTTCGGTGTCGAGTTTTTGAATAATCAAGTCTGTACCGATTGGCGTGATTCCGAGCATCACGCTAAATTCTCGATTCCAGCTCCTAGTGGATGGTTTTGCCGAGAACGGATTCAAGGCAAGTCCAGAGTTCTCTTGTTGGCGTGCGCAATCTAAAGGATCACAGGTCATCTGCCCCGATCTTTTCAAGGGGGATGCAGTTCCAGAGAGTATGTTGGGACCAGACGTGCGTTCATTGCGCAAGATTGTGTTCCTGTTCCAACTGAGAGCGATTGTTGCGCAGGGAAATCGCATTGACACCAAGGCCTGGGCATCAAAGCACCCACCCCACGAAATCCGTTCGATCATTGACAAAGTGATTGCAGCCCTCAAAGATGAAGGTGTGGTGAAATTTGCCTCGACTTCTTACTGTTTCGGTGGTATGTGATATGATCTCATTTCCGGGCCTTTTGATGGAGCTTGGGTTTGATTCTGAACAGCTCCATATACTTTCCAATTGGCTTTCGAAAATATCACCAAGGTGTCCGTGTGTGCCCATCCTTCGGCTCTGAAGATTCCCGAAGACTTGGAGGTAAAGTCACGACCTTAAAGCTATATCATATCATAAGTGCTGATCGTTTTACTGTGGTAGAAATATGCCGAAATGTCGAAAGCACCTCTTCTGATTAACTCGTGCACGGTTGACCCACCGTTCCCTCCCGAAGCTCGGGCCAAGGCCGACGAAATCCTAGGTGGAGGGAAGTTTGCTCCGGGATATCAGCGAGAATATTGGGAGGGGTGCACGCACGGATTCGCTGTGAGAGGGGATATGAGCGACCCCAAGGTGAAGGCTGGAAAAGAGGGTGCCTTTTTGAAGAGCGTGGAGTTCCTAAAGAAACACTTGTAGAGCATTTATCACGACTCAGGCAGCTGGAAAGAACACAGAGATGCTCGTACATCTATTAAAATTTTGTCTATGTACTCAGCTTACTGAGCTTTGACCGATGTCAATACTTACTCGTGCCGCCTATATTTATGCACTTGCCTCGATTCCCAAGCTGTTCGCTCGCATCCAGCAACGTTCTTCCATAAAGCAGGGCTGCGCCTGTCCTGTTCAGCGTGAGATGAAGTAGCGCAAAGAAAATCAGCGGTCTGCGATAAGGCCTCGGAACGGTTGCGAAGCCTTTGTCTGCGAGAAGAAAGCGTGGGGAGAGGTGGAAAGCTTCGAGGGATCAGGCGTAAACGCATGCAGCTCTTCGTCCACTTGTACCGCTGGGAAACTGAAACTTGCGCGAGTTCGGTGTGAGTAAATTATCTCCACTTTCACTCGCTTTCTCACCTTTTCCCCCTTGGTCTCCATATGAAGCGTTCTGAAGCGTTCTGATCCTTTGCATGAGAGTCGAACATTCCTTGATGGTTCGGGCTGAAGTGAATCATGATGCTCTATCAAAGCCGAATTCCAAGGAATCCTTTCTCCATGGCAAATGATGTCTGAAGGTGTCCGTGGTACCTGAGCACCCCAGTAGATTCCACCGAGGCTTTCAGCGACACGCCGCGGACTCTCGAAATCGTCGACTCGTGCTGATTGTGCGTTAAATGCTGGCAGGGCCATCTGCCACTCGTCGCGTTGGCACCTCAGGCTAGCACTGAATCTGAAAGCCACCGCTTGTCGCTGCCAGATGTCGCTTGCCGTCCACCAAGCCAAGCAGCAACACCGGGGAAATATGGCTACTGACCTCTAGCCGGATCCGGGTGACACACTGGAGAGGGAACTCCTCAAGCTGACCACAAATTTCCTCAGTGACTTTGCGGATGTTTATCTTATCATCAGTACCCATGGTTCGATGCGCAGCGATTCCGACGAGCCGTGAGTACTGATTTCTCAAACTCGTCTTCGAGCATCTAATAAAATGGCGTCGAAATAGTAATGCGCTGGATCAAACCCATGGGTATGATCGCTGATTGTGCGAAGCCTCTTCCAAGTTAGTTATTATCCGTGTGAGTGAATGGTGCGTATCTGATTAGATAGTCTAAGTGAAGCTAAACACACTCTATCACTAGTACAATTACAGTGCCCGTTTCTTCGTCCAGAATTTCCCCTCCATAATAGAAAATGCCCTGGAATTGGCAGTTCTCGGTTGCACTCGGCAAGGAAGTTATATAAGGATGCTTGCTGGCAGGACTTGCTCTCCTTCCTAAACTCCGTACACACCCCACCGATCCTGCAACGATGTCCAACAGAGCCAAAATCGAATCTCTTCTGGCGATGGCCAACTCGGCCGCACAGGAGGCTATGGCCCTATACGAGAAGGCCGGAGGAGATGTTCCATCCCTTGACTCCACCGGTCCTCACCCTTTGGATGATGCCATCGACACCGTTGCGTTGAAAAGCGCCATTCGTACCCTCGAGGGGGCTTGCGGCCAGATATGCACAACATTGGCGCCTCCATCGCATACGGCAATAAACGTGAGCATGTATTCATCACATTTGTCCGAGGGGCTAATCAAAGCTCGCTCAATTCTTCCAGCTTGTACAAGTTTATGACTACGCTTGCGTGCGGGTTGTACTCCGGGAAAACATTACCAACATCCTCATAGACTACCCCAACGGTATTCACGTCAATGAGCTCTCGAAGATCATCAAGGTCGACTCGAAGAAGCTTGCTCGTGTCATGCGTCTACTTTCAACCAGGGGTTGCTTCAGAGAAGGTAGCTACCTTATTGCGCTGACATTCTTCAAACTAACATGGATGTCCACGCAGTTGACACGGACGTGTTCGCAAACAACCGTCTGTCCCTCATCCTTCACAGTGAGAACCCAGTTCGGCACATGGTCAGCTTGCACGTCGAGGCATGCGCGAAGGGTGCCGGTGTCTTCTACGAGACGCTCAAGGAGCCTGAGCACGCATATTCGTACGATCCCGCTCATGCTCCTGTCATGTACGCCATCAAGCCTCAGGGTATCGAAGGAACCTTTTTCGACTGGATGAGACTGGATGTAAGCTTCTTCGAGACCTTCATTTAAAATCCCAGCTAATCACACTATATAGGACAGCAGACGAGTGGTAATTACGGTCTCGCTGCTTCATAAATTGTGCCTAATGTTCTTTCACAGAGCTACCATCGCTCGATGAGAGGTCTCAATGGCATCATGGGCTCTCTTGCCGTCCTTACCAGTGCGTTCAAGTGGATTCACCGTGCCTTCTGTCACTCACTATTTACTTGCAGATTTCCCCTTCGAGAAGTATTCCACAGTTGTCGATGTCGGTGGTGGAATTGGTGCCTTCTCTCTCCCTCTCGCCAAAACACACAAGAACGTCAAGATCACCATCCACGATCTTCCGGAGGCGCTCGTCCAAGCAAGAGATGTAAGCCCCTCTTCTACAACAATTGTACTCCCCGAACTCATCATCTGCTTGTAGATCTGGGCCAAAGACTGCCCCGAGGCTGTACAGGAGGGACGGGTAGAGTTCGCTGAGCTCAACTTCTTCGAGCAAGTCCCGGTCAAGGGCAAGGACATTTACTACGTGGGTTGCACCTCAGATCTATTCGCCGTCTCCGGTTGTTGACCGAGGACATCGACAGCTTCGCAACATCATCCATGACTGGCCCGACAACGAAGCTGCCCTCATCCTGCGCAATGTCCGACAGGCTCTGGGGCCCAACAGCCGAGTGCTTGTTCGTGAGTAAAGCCTTGCGAGTCACTGAGGACGAAGTTAACGTTTACTTCACTAGATGACTACGTTCTCCGACAACTCAGCCGTAAGCAAGCAGAAGTTGAGGCCTCGACGCTCGGTGCCGTAGTGGTCAGTACAACGGTCTCCGTATACTGTGCCAGAACTAATAGGTCGCGATAACCAGGCTCCCGAGCCACTGCTACCAAACTTCGGTGTTGGAAACATGCGTTCGTACCAGCAAGATATGACCATGTTGATTCTACACAATGCGAAGGAGCGGACTCTCCAAGACTCCTTGGAGCTCGCGTCAGTACTTTTCGCCCCATGTCCCTGGTTATTTACCTGACGCGTCTTTTCCAGAACCGCGGCTGGCTTGAAACTTGAAAAGGTTTGGGATCTTGCCGAGGCATGCGTGCTTGAGTTTATGGCTGCCTGAAAGTGAGGGGAGCCCAGCCCTTGTGCAGTTCTGGCTGCATGTGGCCACACGTGTGTTCATCCACACGAACGTCCCCTTGTACATGCGACGCCTCGTATGTATCGAGGCGTAGGCCACGCCACTCATGTATCTACCATATTACTTGCGCCCCCACGGTCGCCTCTGTATTCTAAAAATGAAGTGTACAAACAAGGCTGTTTTCCGAGGATCATCAGGCCTAGGTGATAATCGATGAGTATGCGGATA